TTATTCAAAAATCATAAAACCAGGAGTGAGTCTAAAAGCTGAGCATAACAAAATGCATTTTTAATTCACTCTCATATTCCAACAATACAGTTATTTTTTAGTTGAAGTTTATGCTTAAATAGGAACGGAGGCTGGATTCCATGGCACAAAGGCCTACGTCCTAGCTGAGAATGTTTTTACCTCTAAAGTTTCATTTAGGGTCAAATGAGTAGAAACCTTATACCATCAGTTAACATTTAACTGCTGGGCAGTGGTTGAAGCTCAATGTTAGTACTACATCTGGAACTATCATGTTAGTGGTTTAAAAAGGCAGCACAATTAACATTAGAAGGGCTGTGAAGAGCAATAACTTTCACTTTGCAAATGCTGTATTTGTACTAAGATATAAATATGCCTCACTGAAAGGAATAAGTGTTACTATTTGATTGACTCATTTCTTTGTATTAAAAAAAAAAAAATCCCAAAGCTCTTCATCAACAAACACCTCAGCTTGACACTGGAGGCCAATCAAAATCAGGCATCTATCACTCTATGGAACCGCCAACCCTAAAGTCTGGTACTTTTCCACTTTCAAAGTTTTTGTAAGTGTCCTCCCCAGAACTTCACTCTTTCATCAATCAGGAGATCACATCCACCTACTTCCCCAGTGCAGTCTTACGATGGCTTCCAGGCACGAAATGTTAGTGCTCACTGACGATCTTACAGCAGTTTTGTCGTTAGCCCTTACTTGGCAATTAATAGTTAACTTTTCAAATGTATGTCCTATTAACTCCCAGCACAGCCTGTAAGCACCTTAGGGTTAATGACATGAATTTACATATAACAGGTGCTCAAAATATTTGGTTAGGATATTCACACTTAGGATATGCCATTTTCAATCTTTTAAATAAAACCATCTCACAATTTAAAGGGATACTCAAGAACTCTATTAAGACAATACACAAACAATTAATTTACAAAGATAACAAGAATGCCTCATTCTCTTCCAGGAAAATATAAGGATTAAGATTTTTAAAAAGAGCATTGGGACAAAAAGCCATCAAACACTGAATCTTAAGTCCAAGGAACATTTTAGTTCCTGCAAGAACTCCATGACGATGAAGAAATCAACATTTGGAATACTGTAACTTTCTATTTTAAATGTCAAGAATAGCAATAACCAAATAGAGCCAATCAAATTTAAGAGAACAGAAAATATATTTCTGCTCATGGTTAATTACTAATGTTAGAATGTGAAAGAATTTTTCGTGTCAACATGTGAGAAGACAATTTTTTCACAGTGAAAAAAGCTATTATGAGGATCTTCAACTGGAAGCTCACTCCATATATATATATTCAGTGCATATTGTAACTTATTTTGAAGAGTATTAAGGTATTTTTGTAATAATGTAATTAAAGTCTTTCCACATTAATTAAAAAATGTTTAAGCTTCTTGAAAGTAAGCCATGTATGCCAAGAAATTTTTGTATTCCTCACCACATTTTCTTATGTTGGGTAATTAATGCTGTAATACATACCTCAGATACTTCAGGCAGGAGCGTCAGAGAGAAAAGGCAAGGACTCTGCGGATGTTTGGAGATGGGTCAGTTGTCTCCAATGAAAGACATTACCCTGTTCATGCCTACCACACATACCTCAGATACTTCAGGCAGGAGCGTCAGAGAGAAAAGGAAAGGACTCTGCAGATGTTTGGAGATGGGTCAGTTGTCTCCAATGAAAGACATTACCCTGTTCATGCCTACCACAAATGCTTTCTGTAAGGATTAAAGGAACATTGCAGGTAAGAGTTTTGCAGAGTTCCTCGTACATGACAGTACTTAATACTTCTTTTTGAACACGTATTTAATGAGCATCTACATGTGCTGTATGCTGTTCTAGGTGCTGGGAATTCCAAATAGAAGAAAGTGAAGTCCTTGTTCTCATGAAGCTTATAGTGTAGCGGCAGGTGACAAACAAATTGACCCTTAGATATAACACGTTAAGTGGAAATAACTAAATATGAAAATAATTAAAAAGGGGATTAGCAGACAGAATAGAAGAGGAGGTGTGTGGTGCACACATGTCCTATTTTATAAAGGATGTTAAGGGAAGCCTTCTCTGGTAAGACCTGAGAAAGTGTGAGGGCGGGGCTTGCAGATGCAAGGGAAAAAGCTTTCCAAGGAGAGGAAACACCAAGTGCGGTGTTCTGGAGTAGGAAAGTATTCTTGGAATGTTTAAGGACCAAGAGGGATTCCAGGGGGCTAGAGCCCAGTGAGCTGGGGAAAGAGAGGAAGGACATAAGGACAGTAATGTGAAGGTGGCAGGATCAGGTGGGGCCTCACAGGCGTTGGTAAGTGATCTGCCTGTATTTGAAAAGGTAATACATACTAGCTATTATCAAATGTGTAACTGTAAGGGATTTAACACATCAGAAATAAGTATTGTCTGTCATTGTTCTTTAACTAATCCGGTTCAACTAGATTATAAGTAGTTAAGCTCTATGAAATCGTAGTTTGTATGGGCCCAAAACGGTGGAATATTGTCATAAGGTTCAATCAGATTTACTGGATAGGGTTGGTAAAAAAAAAAAGCAAAGAACATTAGCTTTATAATGAAATACAACCAGACTTGAATCTCAGACTCAGGACTCAATAGCTATAGTCTTGGACAAGTTACTTTCTCCTTGGGTTTCCCCTTATGTAAAAGGAGGATCACCCTATAACCTAAGCCACAAGTTTGTACTGACTATTAAATGAGATACGTACTTAAAGCAATTGGTGCAGGGCCGGACCTTAATAAATAAGTGAGCCAAGTAAGAAAGGGGAGTGCATCTTTTACACCAGCAGAGCAAATGAATAATTCCCCGTCAAAACATTTCAAAAGCACCTATCATTTTTGTAGGTACTGAAGAAGTATACTTTACTTAGTGAAGACCCAACGGCTTTTTGATTAAATTACTATTTCCTGCATTTATACAATTCATCCGTTAAACAGATAATTCTATGGCTCTCAAAACAGCTATGGATGTTGGAGAATTTAAAATGAGAGTTGATTGTTTTTCACTTTCTCTACCAAGGTAATTTCATTTCCTCTATCAAAGTAACAATTTAAAAAACGAATTCTGCTCTTTAAACGAAAAGGCCAGAAAGGCCACTCACTGTTCGAAATTCGTTTAGTAACTTCAATACAACTCAAATCTACAAGTGCTCTTCAGAATTTGTGTGAAGCAAAATTTTACAATAAAAACCACTTAAGTTCACAGTTTAAACACAGGAAGACATGATAAACAGAAATTTCGGCCACATATATCTCTCATAACGATCAATGTAATATTAATCATTTTGTCCACATTACTAACTGAACATACTATAAAGGCCTTGCCATAAGAAAAAGGCAGATTTAGTGCCTGACAACTTCTATAAATAAGAGGACTTCATTGTTGCATTTCAGAAAATCCTTCCTCAAACAAATCTAAATATTTGAAATCCATCATTCTGTATGCAAAAGCCTCTTGTCCGCTGTACGACTATTTTTCACGTCTGTAAAAATAAATGCTGACTTTTGCTTTTCACACTATGGGCACGCTCTTTATTTCACACTGTGGCCTCACCCTATTACCGAAGACTGATGCCATCGTGAAGCGAATCGTTTCAAATACGGTTTCCGTTCCCACTATCACTTAGCACCCCGCCGTGCTCATCTCTAACTATGCATTCGTTTCAGAATAACGGATTGGTGCAACAAGCACCCCCGCCCCGAGGGCGCGCGTCACGTTCGGCGGACGGACGGGGTGACACAGGGACCCGCCGCGCCCACGCCGCCCACGCCCTGCCCGCCCCGGGCGCTCTTGAGGTTTCTCTCCGCTGTGCTGCTTGCCAGCATCCCAGCAAATCACGAGAACCGAAGGGAACCGAGGAGACGACGGGAAGGTCGTCACGCGTGGTCCCATCGGCGACCTGGTCCAGCACGCCCGGCGCAGAGTCCTGCAGCGACAACACTGCGGCGCGGGGCTCAGAGCGCCCCAAACTCCTGTCCTTTGCTCCCGCGCCCAAACCAGCGCACCGCAGCCAAGACCCAGGACCGGGCCGTGCTCGGAGCCTGGCGCCCCGAGGGTCCGACGGCCAGGGCAAGCGGTGCAGCGCCGGTCAGGCCCCTGCACGGTGGGCGACAAGCCAGGATGCCCCTCGCAACCGTCTGGCCCAGCCCCGCCCTACGCAGGCGCGCTCCGGGGCCTGCCCCCACCCCCAATGCGCGCTCGCGGGGCCCGGCGGGGGAGGAGCGACCCTCGGAAGGGGCGTGGCCAGTGGGCTCGACGCGCGCACGCGCTCTCGGGCCCCACGGCTACGTGTCGTGCCACGTGACGCCCACCCCGAAAGTCCCCCGTGAAGCAACAGGACGTTTAAAAAAATTTCTTTTCTGGGGGTCGCAGGGAGGGTGGATGAGAGGTTTTAGGAAAACTGTAGTCACGGGCGTTGAGGCGGGAAGGCCGGGCGGCGGCGAGCGCAGCAGCGGCGCGTCGTGGCGCGTCCCGCTGGAATTCCTCTCGCCTCACGCGCCAGCCCGACCGCGCCCGCGGCCCACAGCGGCAGGAGCGCTAGTCGCGGTTTCCGTATCGTTTTCATTTGGGAGCACTCTTCTCTCCTGGGGACTTCGGTGGGATTCCCAAAGGAAAAGACTTAGTGGGAAATTTCATGTTTTTGGAGTTTGTGTAGCTTGTAAATACTCAAGTGGAAGTCAGCGTGGGGCTTGTTAAGTTAAAGAAATACATGGAAGGCCGAAAGTAATGCTGATGTGGCCGAAGGCGAAGACAAAATGACAGCGAGCAGCACTTTTTGTCCTTTTGTTTAGGGAAGCGAGAACTGTTAGAGAGTTTAACTTCACTTTTTGGGGGGGGAGGCGTGGAATACGAAATACCGCGATGACAGATCTAAACGTAATCCCGAGTTTGAAAGAACTTGGGCGGAGGGTTTTCTCCCGGGGACGCAGCCGCCCTAGTTTGTAGGACGGGAATCGAGACGTTTGAAAGGGCGAAAATAAAATTCAGCAGAAGTTTGCAAAAAAAAAGCTTTGTTGGAGCGCTGTGGGGAGCGAAGACTGACAAGAAGATTCGTGTTGGCCAACTCTGGAATTTCTTTAAGAAGTTCTTGTAGCAATAACCTGGAGTGTTGGTTTCCAGTAGCTGTGGGTTTCTGTGGACGCCTAGGGAAAACAATATGACCAACAAAAAAGTCTATTTTGAAAATCGAGTAGCAAGGAGTTTCTTTTTTCTGTTTAGAAGCATCACCGGAGGACTGTTTAAAGAAAGCTGAAAACTGTACTCATGCTGTGGAGATAAACAGTGGATTTTAAATTCTTCGCACGAATTTTGAGATTTAAAAATAGACTTAGGGAAAAGGTCTGAAATTTAGGGAGCTGGTATGTCACTGAAGAACAAAAGACCGGAAATGTTTCCGTGATAAAAGATCGTTAAAGAAGAATCCCAGGAGCTTTTGTTGTCTTGAAAGTCATAGAAGTAATTTTAAAATAGAAAACAGGTATTACTGCTTCCTGGTTGTTTTGCTTTTATATGTTAAACGTACGGCAGTAGCCTGTATTGACGTAGGCATTTTCCACTGTTGGAATAATAAATCTATTAATTTCAAGTTGCTACAGAGAAAAATTGAGCTGTCCCTTTAAGGGGTTCTGCTTTTCGTATTTGTGTTGGCATTTGAAAGATTGTGGAGGCTGAAAACTTTCTGGAATGTCAAAAAAAAAAAAAAATCGCTGGAACTCTTAAATTGGGTATTTCCGAATGTGAACGCTAAGGGGCGCCAGTTATTTTTTCAACTATGAAAACGTTTGGAACAAAGTGTGTAATGTACTCAGTATTCTGACCTATATTAAATTTAGTTGAAATTTAAATTATAGATTATTTTATCTGTCATTGTGTGATCGTAAATGTGTTTGCAAACGTTGTGAACACCTTCTTTAAAATTATTGGCCCAATTTTATCACGTTTCAAAAACAATACGTACGCTATTGTTTTCTTCTTGTCATATTTTAGTTGTTTCAGTAGTAATAACAGTTGCTGGTGAAAATTTTTTTCGTAAGTGCGGTTGTTTAGAAGGAGTCCTTTATAGATGTTAAAAGGAAAATAGGCCTTGACAGTATTTAGGTTTAATTAAATTAAAATTATATGGCATTCTTATAATATTGAATTCAATCAAATGGCATAGGAAATTATTAAAAGTTTGGAAATACTCTCGCCTTCTGTGTACTGTTTATAAAGCTAAATAATTCGAGTTTTTTCGACTCGTTCTAAAAGGCTTCACACTTGTGCCTTTATGTTGATCTAAAATATCTAAATAATTTGGAGTTGGTTCCCTGTTAAAAAGTTTTTAATCTTCGGCGCTAGTATTTTTTAGTCTTCCAAATGTAGAAATTTCAATTTTCCCCCAACAAAGGGTTGCCCATTTCTCTTTGGGAATAGCAACCGTTTGAGTTTTAAATGCAGGGGACCACTAGTTTAGGATGATATATTCTAAATAATTTTTAACTTTTAAAATTTGCTTTACTCCATCTCTCAGTCTATCTTCAGTTTTAGCCTTTGTAAAGATTGCTTCCGTATGAGAACTAGTATGTTTAAAATGGACAACATAATGACTAGGAAGTTTGTTTTTTATCAGACCAGTACAAACATGCAGGAAAAGGGGCTATTCCTTAGTGTGGAATAAGCTGCTTCCTGTAATTGTTAGCCTTATTTTAAACTTAATTTGACTTAAAAATATTGGTTTCTGAAGTGCATCACATTTTCTTCTTGCTGAATGATTTAATTGTGAAATTTGGCAAGTTGTACTTTATCCACAAAGGCCTATCTTTGTCCAAAACAAACTAATCATGACTTCTATTTGTGGTTAGGAATTACATTTTCCTTTGTCCATAATGCTTGGCTGAAAAATTACTTTCAAATCTAGCTGAAACTGTAGATTTTACTTTAGTGACTAGTGTACTAAAGTTACGATATTATACTTAGAATAAATGTATTTTCTGATAATTAGAAATTTTGAATGAGACTTTAGCAATTTTATTTCAAAATATTTTTCAAAGAAGCTTTTTAAAAAGTTCCCTGTCACTTTGAGAATTTTTATTTGGCTAGTTACAAATTTGGGGATTTAGTGTGCTAGTTTTTCCTGGTTAATTAAAACTTGAATGCTTTAGAATGAGCATTTTAATTCCATGCCCAGTTGAACATTAGTTTGTTCCTTCACTGTGGATAATCTTTTTGTTTTATTTGTGTTTTTTGGGGGGTGGGGGTGTTAGTCTTTCCTCCCAAATCTTCAACATGGTTGTTTTAAGTTGTGAATACTTTCTAGTTTGCAACAGTCGTACAAAGGAAACAACTTAGTGGATAAATATAATACTTAAGAATCTTTTATTGAAGATAGAGATGATTACAGGATTACAGATAAAACCTAGGTCTTTAACTGCTCTCTCTTCAGATCATCCATGGGAAAGAGCAGTTAATACGCAAAGTTTGGGGGCTTTTTTTAAGAGACCTTTCTTTGTCTTGAAACTTAAACAACAGTAGTTGAATGCAAATTCTGTTTTTATAAAGTTTTGCAATTTAGAATTGAGAAAGTGAAGAATAATATTAATTTGACTTAATAAATCCCAAATAGGGGAAAGTGGAGAACTAGATATTTTAAAATCAGAGTTCGAATTTTTATTTTTTTAAGCGGAAGGGAGATTAAAGCTGCTGATGTGAAATCAAAAAAACGAATAGTATGGTTTGTGAGGAAGGATGGTCTAAATAAATCTTTTTATTGTGGGTATCAGAAAAATTAATGCGTGGCTCAGAAAAACTGAGCAAACAATGTTAGATTCTGTATTACTGATTTGAAAAATACATCATTTTCTGATTTTTTATGTTTTGATAATAAAAATTTTTTAACCTCAGTTTAGCTTCTTACCCTGCCTGCTCCCTCTCTTAAAAATGTGAGGGAAAACATTTTAAATTAAAACTTGCTTTACTAGTTAGCATTTTTTCATGTTAATGCTTATTTCCATTTATGCGTATGTTATTATTGACTGTATCATGGGGTCAGTTTTCTTGCACTTGATTTTGTTTGTTTTCCTGAGAAACCTTGCTTGTCTGCAAAAGCTTTGGTTTAAAAATTATATGGCCATTGATACTGAGAGAACTCTTGCTTTATAGGTTTCTTATACTTGTAGATTTTCTTTTTGTCTGAAGATGCATTCTTTGTTGACGGTAATCAATATCTGTGACAAACAGATTTTACTTAAGGTGAAATAATTAATCTGTTCTTTAGGAGCTAAGATTTTGCTTTTGTAAACAAGCCCTTTGAATTAGTTGTAATAAGAAGGAAGCCAATATTTATTAACCAGTTCTTTCCATAATCCTCCTTTCTCCTCACTTAGGAGGTGTTACCAGCTATATATGGCAATAATGGGAATCGTCATTTGTATCAGTATAGGTTATTTATTCAACATTTATTCTGTGTTTTTGAAGCTTAATTCCCCAGTAGGAAGGAAGGTGATTCCTTTTTAAACTTTATCCAGTTTATATGTCTTATAGTAAAAGATGTACTCCCGAAGTTATAACACAATTCAGTTAATAGAAATAAGTCTCTTTGCTAATCATATTTATTAGTGTATTTGGTATGAATGCCTTTTCTTTGAGAATATCAAGTTAAAACAAGTTAATTTGACTTTGTAGCTATTTTGTGCACATTATATTTTTTCTGTTATTGCCTCCTAATTATATACCACTGTCCTGGAGCTGATTGAAGTTTGTCAGTTTTCCATAAGAACAAAAGACTTTTGGTTTCCTTTTTAAGGGAAATACTGTAGATTCTTGTGACAAAAGAGTGAAGTATATATTAACACCCTCCGATCCCCAACCCCTCTTTGACCTGGCCTTTACTGAAGCAAGATTTAGGTGCTCCTTTTTTTGAGGCCAATGTGCTTAGACGTTTTTCCTTGGGTTTTTTTTTTTTTTTTTTTCTCTTTTTGGTGACTGTTTTTTTTTTGTTTTGTTTTGGTGTTAAGAGAATTAATTATGCCAGTGTGGTCATAGGGGCAGCTTTTTATAAACTGATTGGAACTGCAGTTTACTTGAGAAATTCAATGTAACTAATATATTTTGTTTGATTTTTTTTTTTGTTTGATGGTGCAATTGTAAGCAAAACTTGCCTTTCTCTGTTGGAGATGGAAGATGCTGTGACATTGTTGGGTTTTATTTGTTGATAACTGAAAAGACAGCCCACTGAGCAACTTTCTGCTATTGGTATGTCAACTGTTGTCAAGGCCAAGAGATGAAGGGTAGTGAGTAGGCCAGTGTCAGGAGGTCATAAATAGAATTATAAACCAATTATTTTTATTTACGTGATTGACAGGGCATCATTATTTTCTCCTACCCCTCCTTTATTTGACATTAAGACATTTTGTTGTGAACTTTAAGTGCATTAATGTGTTTTTCCTATGAGAACTTTTAGGGAATGCTTATAAAACCTTTTAAAAATTAGCATTCAGTTTTGGGGCCCAATATAGCTTGTTTATTTGATGTCCAAGAAAAGGAAAAATATCATTGAACTTTTAATAGTGAATACAGGTTATTATTTTAGAGTGACTTAAGAAATTTGTCTATAAATATGACCCCAGTCTGTGTTGGATACTACTTGCTATGAAGTTTTCATCATACTTAACATTGGAGTATTATCTGTCTTGGGTCTATATCCTCTGTTAGAATTAGTTCCATGAAGGTGACCACCTCAGAGCCTGACATATGTACATTGTCAGATGTTTGTAGAATTAATAAATATGTTGACACCTTGTATACTTTTCTGATGTCTAGTTTTTCTAAAATATAGATTTTTTAAATGAAAATACAGAGGTGACATTAGAAACATTGTCTAATACCTATAAGAAATTAAGCAATTGTATAATGATTGGTGATAGTTTGGGGCATTTACAGAAAAGGGTACGTATATTTTTAGTCTTAAAAGTGACTTTCTTAGAAATCTCATATTATTTGTAGTACTTGTTCCCAGGGTGCTTAATCTTAGTTTTACTTTGCTGCCATTGCTGCGAATGAGAATTGGAAAGATAAAATTGCTTTACTTAAGCAGTATAGTTTCTAGCCTGTCCTTATAACAAAATATATCAATCCATAGCAGAGAAAAACTGTCAGTGTTCATCTCAGCTCTTGAAAGTTTTGGCGTTTATGGAATTATATAGATAAACTTTTTCCCTAGTCAATTACCTATAAAGGTCAACAAATATAGGTTTTGTACTCTATGCAAAGCAGAATGAACAGGAAAGATTCCTTGTCTCCAAGTGCTGCTCTGGTGTATGGTGTGTTCAAGATAAATAAGTACTATTGAATGGTTTTAGTTTATAAGAAAGCTGAGTATTATCATATGTAGCAGATTTTTATTTAACACGAATTGCAATTATTTAAACAGAGGTACTTTTAAGCTAGTTTAAGACAGTTGACATTAAATAGAAAACTGATAAATTGAAACTTTCAGTTAAC